GGTTGTGAAGTCTTTCTCGAAAGAATACCTCCGTCTTTCCGCAAAGCCAGCTTTTCTGCACAGGTTTCAAGCACTGTCATGAAGAAACCTTGGCACACTAAAATTAGACTACGTTTTTTTTGGAGATATCAAAAATATTTTCAATGAGATGTGCTTGTTCTTGTTATTTTCCTTGTAGTGTGATTTTATGCATTCGAGTCAGCTTACTTCACCTGCATTCAGTCACCTGTATTCGAGTCAGCTTACTTTCGTATGAATACGATAAAGTTGGGCTTTAACTATGTGTTTGGGTCGAAATTACGCAGATATCACCTGAAATGAACATGGTGGAAACAATATGATGTGTGTGACTTAGCACTAATTTGTGCCGTTTCAACTCATGAGTACTGTACTATCAAGTAGCCACCATTGCTACTCTTATTACGCGATATATAGTCATGTGTATGCGAATCAATCCCACAGGCTATCTCAGCCACAAAATTTTCATTCAGTACCCCTTTTAATAAACAATTAGAGGGGAAGTTTTTTTACTGTTACCAATTAGAAACTACGTAAGACATGGTTGACACTGTCAAAATCAGTGGCGTTGTGGAATTCAGTGCGGAGATTTCCAGGTAGTGTCACCTACCACATCTTCTTTTGGCGGCAAAGCTTTTTTAGGGTCAAGGCATGTTCGTCCACTGCGTTCGTTGGCGGTCCCGAGGAGCTGTGTAGATGTGAGATAGAAAAAATGGCCGATCCTACGTACAGTAGGAATCGATGATATGCGAAGCACGAGTCAGAAATATTCATATGCCACTCTGAAATCAGCACAACGTTACGAGGTGTAGGTAAATGATGCGGTACATGAATTCTCTGTCATGATTATCATGTCTGAATGTGTTCTTTGCCTTTGTCATCTATTCACGTCACGTGATACCAAATTTAGTATATTTGCCTTAGCACACTGGCTAAGGGCCGCAAGCACACTGTGAGCGTGGTATGTTGTCATGTTATTAAATGACACGTGTGTCAGAATTATCCTGTTTGCACCAGTCATATACTTTCGTCATTCATTGACGTCACGTAACACCAAATATGGGTATATGCGGAGCTAGCAAAACGGCCATGAGGACATCATGAGAAGCCCGAGATACTCCAATGTAGCATTGACGTGCGCGCACGCTGGGCACAGCGACACTACGTTAGCAAATCGCAAGCACTCTATAGTCTGACACCGAGCGCGATCAGTGTCCTTCGGCTCAGCCCGATGGCAACTGGGGCGAAATATGACATGCTGCATTTCGCGCCGATGCGTTACCCAGACAACACTGCGTCTCCCTCTTTTCTTTGAGGAGGGACGCCGGACGCGCTGAAACACGCATGCATCAAAGCAACGCAGCGCGGCGCGTGCCCTAGAGTATATTGCAGGACCGGTGCCTGGTGTGGCAACGCCAGCGTGACCCTACGAAATGAACGCCGGCGAACACGCGCACCGCGTCACGTCAAAATGTTTTGGCGCCTTGACTGTTGCATGAAGTCACATTCTCACATGACACGCATCTCATTATTATCGTGTTTGCACCAGTCACATACTTTGTCATCCATTGGAGTCACGTAATACCAAATTTGACATATGTGAAGCTAGCTAAATGGCCGCGGCGCAATATCAGTGTGGCATGTAGTCATGTATTTACATGACGCGCATGTCGGGATTATTATGGTTGAATGTGCCATTTACCTATGTCGTCCGTTCGCGTCGCGTAATACTGAGTTTGGTACATGTGAAGCTAGCAAAACGGCTGCGAGCGCATCATGAGCGTAGCATCTAGTCATGTTTTTACATGACACGCATCTCCTGATTATCATGTTTGCACCAGTCACATACTTTCTTCATCCGTTCATGTACTGTAATACCTAATTTGGTAGTATATGTGACGTTAGCGAAACGGCTGCAAGTGCATTATGAGCGTGACACGCAGTCATGTTGTTACATGACGCGCATGTCATGATTTTCATTTTATGACTGATCAAATGTGTTCTTCATACAGTCATGTTATGCCATACCAAGCTTGGTATCGATACCATTATTGAAATGGCCAGGAGAGCTGAAAGTCGTATGCGGCTAGACACAGACAGACAGGCAGATAGACAGATGGATAGATAGATAGATAAATAGATAGATTGATAGATAGATACGCTCAACGTCGCTGAAGTTCGCTAAAAAATGCTGTGCATTTAAAACAGCTAATTGGACTAATATCAATCATAATTGTGACAGAATATGAAACACATACAAGCACAAACCTTTTTACTAGTCAGTGAATTAAACGTTAACAATATGAACGTTTGCACCTAGCTCTGTCGTCGTCTCTTTAATTCACTTTATGTCACTCGATTTACATTATATCGAGCGACGCTCAGGTTACATATGTGAGACACAAGAAAAGGTTCAAAAGTGGACTAATATGATTCAGAATTGTGTCAGAAGAATGTAAGACAGCTACAAGCACAAACCCTTTATGGTGACTTCAATGCAAACATTATAGATTTTAGGAACTAGCTTCACCCTCTTATCATGATTCACTTAGTTGAGATGCATGTTTTTTTGCACATTCTCGCGCTTGCCAAGTATTTCTTTGTGGCTAGTGTGGTAATGTTGCAATTGGAAACGAGGTAATACCACAGTCACACTGGAGGTGTTAATATCATTAGGTTCAATTGTCATTCGGTACAACAAATGCCATTCAATCCGCGGTGATTCTGTGCAGGAAAAAGTTAGGGTATTTGTTCGTGATATCTGTGTCAATAATTCAGAAAAAAAATCGCTGGATAATTTGCGGAGGCTAACTGTAGAGTAGTAAAAAAGAGAAGCTATGAAAGATCTTTGCGAAGTTGCTTTGCTAAATAAAGAAGCATAGAAATTTTATGTCTTAGAATATATGGCCACTAAAAACTTAGATGATCTGCTTATCCGGTAGCCGCAGCGAATAGAATGAATACAAAGAAACAAAGCTGACATGGCAGATACACTGAACGATCACTTCAAGCTGCAGTAAGTAATGCATTTAGTCGCTTTGTTATTGGCAGTGCGAAAAATGCGCATAGGCCATAAGTCTTGATCGTGTGATTAGAAAAAAATACTCCCCTTGATGTCCTCACTGGAGATACACGGTCTTCCGCACACTTGACTTCGTGAAATTCAGATATTCCTTTAAAAAGAAGCAATAATAGGGTGTTTCCATCTATGGGGGTGAAATTAAGAATGCTGAATGTCATCCTTCAGGTATTGTTTGGGTTAGAGTGTATACATTTAATTCGACTGCGGTAGCGAATCTCCTTCTTGAACTCAATCAATTGTCTAAGTAGTTTGATTTTAATGACACATATATCTCTTTGAAACAGCCGCTAAGCGTCATCAGATGTAAATGTCATCCCGTTCAACTGACATTAAAATGTCCAGAGGGCCAGGGGTATCACTCACTAATGTGCGGATGATTTTTTTCTCTGTTCTGTTTTATTGAGAGCTTTGACCATGCATACCCTGAAACTCAGTTACATTGAAAAGCATGATTTCCTAGAACTTGTTCAAATATTATAAATTTTTATAGATAGCTGTACCTTCTTTTAATGAATTTCAGCACCTAGAATGTTATACAGGATATTGTGAAGTCGGGCGGGTATGCTACAACAAAAGTAATTCAATGCTGTGCATCATGCATAATGTGCATTAAAGCATAGTATCCAGACTCTTCCGAACTTCGAGGCCATAGAGAAGGTGAAGTGGTGTAAACTTCATTGACCCCCTCCCCGAACGACTGCGTTGTAAGTGAACATCGCGTAAGGCACATCCAATTCCATGCTTTGTGTTGGACATCGATGTACGTGGAGATCATGTTAAAGACTGTGTTATTAAAGTTGCTCGATGAGTTCATTGCTCCGAAAAGGGTAAGCGGTCACTTTTCAATGCCTAGTGTTGCTTAGTCAGGAAACCTCATCCAATAAGCTGTGCAGTGAACGCTGTCTCTTGGTGTGTTACTGTGCAGAGAGCACCAAGACGCTGTATGTTGTGGCACATAAAAGGAGATGTCTATAGCACATCCTTTTTCTACAGAGAACTTTATATAGGAGAAAGGGGCTGTCGTTTGAATAACAGATTGTTGAGCATCATTGAGAGTACAGCCGTGCTGTGACTTGTCATTAAACTGCAAAGAGTGTGGCGGCGCATCCGTATATTTTAGTAATAAGGTACTCTCAAGATTACACGACAGGGTAGCAAGAGAGACTGAAGCACATTTGTAATCAAGACTAGCAAAATATGTTGTACTGCCATCCATGACATTGCATACCCTTAAGATTCATTACTTGAGAGTGCACCATTGACTGGTGTTTACAAGTTTTCTTGTATGTTTGTTGAATCGCGTGGTGTTCTGCGAGTATGTGTCCTTGTTACCTCAGCAAATCCCCAGTTGATGGTTCGTGCTGTCTGTGTTCCAAGTTTGAAAGGCGCAATGCGGGCAGAGAACAGCATGCACGCACACTCTCTGTTCTTCTCTGTCAGTGCTCAGTCGCGCCGTGCAAACCCGGCACAATAAACCAACTAGCCCGCAACGCACAGTGTTCCGCTGCCGTATTCGTTAAATTAATGCACTTTTGTTCAAGAATGGAGGTCGAAGTTGCTCAGAAAAGCCTCTTTCTTAATTTTCAGGAGATGTCATCCTACATATAACACCTCATATTCAACGTTGTGGCATCAGGCCTGCTATTTCGAGGCCCCTTCTACACTATGGAGTGTGAACAAAAGGATCTCAGGGGCTGTATACCTAAGGGCTAGATATCTACGTATTACAGCCACGTGAAGTAACAGTGAAGAGAAAGACAAGCACACTTGAAAGCCAGAAAAACGTCATAATGAAAACTAACAAACAATGTTGCCTTTAGTAACGAGCTCTTATATTTCTATTTTTCCTTTAAAAAGATTATATACTATTCATAATCAGGCTTTGCATTCGCCTGTACAGGTATCCCACTGGCATCAACAAAGATGTCTGAGCTGTCTCTGGGGCCCGGAACAGGATCCCCGGCCAAAGCTCAGCGGCACCAGTGTCGCTTCTGTCCGTACGCAACGCAGCACCGAGGCAGCCTGGTGCTACACGAGCGAGTGCACACGGACGAGCGGCCCTTTCGGTGTCACCTCTGAAGCCGCGGCTTCTTGCACCACTCGCACTTGGTGCGCCATATTTGCACACCCACCGGAGAGCGACCCTTCGGCAGCCCGCTGTGCCCGGCTGCATTTTCGCAACGCAGCAACGTCAAGGTTCACTTGCGCTCGCACCGCTTGCACGTCACCAGCAGCTGATCAGCCGACGCCAACAGTACTGAGCAATAGGCAACCACCTTCCACCTTTGACCAGTTGAAGAATACACACCACAGTGTCTGTTCGGGCACACAGGTCTATTTTTGGGGGCATCTCGGTTATTGCTCGTGTACAGTGCTTAGGATTAAAATGCAACTTTAGAACCTTTAGTATAACAAAGAGTAGCTGTAATTTCTCAAGAAGGCAGTGTCATTTTGCTACAAAGTTTGGCTGCTAGAGGTAATGTTGGCTCTCATGTAAGTGCTAGAGTGGGAATCTCACCAATATGACGCAAAATTAAGACTCGGAATGTAAGTAGGTGCATTACATTGCCTTAATTATTGCCTTTCACTTCGTCAATGCTTCAAGTGCATGGAATTCTTCAGAAAGCTTAATAAAGGATGAAAATATCTGACAGCAGTCCTTCGAGTACTTGTTCTTGATTCATATTGCTGGGCTGTTTTGCAAGCCTTAAGCAGGAGCATGAAAAAAGAAAATAGTTTAACAAATTATTAGCATGAGAAATGTAAAAAACAATGATATCCGAAAAAAGAGATAGGATGCCGTGTGTAAAACTGTTGACAAATACTTGAACTAATACTATATGAACCGATGAAAAAGTGTATATTTAAGGGCTCGTTTTCTTTGTTAGACTCAATATTAATGATACCTAACAGACAATGCTGCCAAGGAAGTATAGGGGATATAATTGGATGTAACTGTAATGTAGTTGGGAAAAAAGAAAAGTGAACGAAAAGATAACTTGCGGTGGGCTTTGAATAACTCGTTTGGTGCTCTACCAACCGATCTACCACAGCAGCTATACACCCATCCACTATATTGTGTATATGTGTGAAATAAACGTGGTAGCATCAGTCATGGCCGTTTATAGCCACGGTGGCGAGTGTGTAACACTATTTATCAGCCTCTTTGGCGTCATGTAGTACTTGATCTTATTACGAGTTGGCAGCTGACCAGTAATTCCTCGCCTACTATCTGAAGGCATCAAGTCTGCTAGAATGAGACCCTCGCTATGAATGAATGAAAGAAGGGTATATTTAAGGGCTCCTTTTGTTTGTTAGATACAATATTAATGAGAATTGGCAGACAATGGTGCCAAGAAAAGTAGGGCATTGGACGAATTGTTCGAACGTCGCAGGTTTAGTCACTTCCCACGGCAAGCTTTCTTCGTGTCCACTTTTTTTTTGTCACAATTGCAATACAACTACTTCCAATAATATTCCCTATACTTTCCTTGGCATCATTCACTGTTAGTTCTCAATAATATTGCGATGAACAAATAGTACTGCACAAAAGGCAATAGAAAGGGGGGGGGGAAATGCCATGAGTTTATGCAATAGATGTTATGTTGACGCAATGGTTCACTCAAACAACAAAAGAAACGTGCTTTTATTTTGTATGCATTGTCGCACATTATCTGGAAAGGGGAACTGTGGGAAATGAAAGGCCACGAATTGTGCATAAAGAGGTCTTATATATATATGTCTTTGCGACATTTAATCAGTTCACATGTAGTTGCAAATTAGCGAACAGTGATGAGATGCACATGCAATGCAGCTGCCGAGCCAGACTGACAGACTAACATTTCCTGCAGCGCACCAGCCATGATTCACTTAAATGCTGTCAGATCTTGATACTACAGGTAAGAAATCCTAAAATGTTGTGACTGTAGTTCAGAAAGATACCTATAATAAAAGCCTTAAAATTAATCCTAATGTTCACATTGTAAATACCTTAGACATCCTGCATTTTCTACAGCACGAAAAAAAGGCGGCTAATTTCTTACATTAGGAACATTGTTTGGAATCAAAACGAGGACATGTGATACAGTGTTTACGCAGACTTCAATGTGTGACGCAAGCAGCGGGTGTAAATAAGACGAAAGGTTCAGTGTACCACCGTCTGTTTGTATCGAAATGGATTGCAAGTGATCTCTTGAAGACAGATATTTTTTTTTAATTGCGGAATTATGCGACGCAATTTGATCAAGCTTTTTGCATTCTTTGCCTAGCCACTTAAAGACATTCTTGTCTTACCGTCATCGGCATCAGGAGAGTAGTCAAAAGTCTTTTCTTCGGAGGGGGGTTTAACCATACTTCATATATGTTCGTATGTTCGTACATGTGTTTGTGTGTGTGCTTGTATTTATAAGTGAGCGAAATAGAAAATTTCAGAGGGTTTTGAGCCCGCCCCTCCCACCTACGAACTCCCTACCCCCCCATTCTAAATATGCCCATGACTGACAAACTGTTTTATCTGCTGTTGAAAATTTCCCGTCTCGCCAATACAGATGCAGCACTTGATACTTAAGTCCAACTCTGTCATAATGATCCCAGAATAACATTCTATTGATTACAACAACCTTGTTTCGGTGCACTAACAATTTCCCTATGGTACCCTTCCAAACTGAGTCCACATATAGCGAACATAAAAATGAACACTGCCGACACGGTCGCGGTAAAAGTATGGGACATACAAACCGACAAAAAAATGTTAAGAAAGGCACTCTAAAGCACATAGGTGCACGCTCATGTGTGCCCCGCTGCTTTTTATATATGCGACGAAGATATCGTAGATGGCGGTGAACACCGCACACAAAATTCAGGCATGGTGAGCGAGTTCGCTCATTTTCCAGACGTTTGTTCACCGGCAAAACAGAAGTGAGGAAAAACACGAAAAAAATAACTGCACAAAAACTTGCGATCAGCTTTCACACGGCAAACTTTTCTGACACCGCTCTCGGCATCTACGAGCGGCGACGAATAATCAAGAATGCTTTCGAACGCAACAAGCCATAAATGTGAGAAGCAGTAACTTTTGTCAGATTTAAGTTCATTGCGAGGCTCAACTCTCTGACATCACAATTTGCCGGAAAGGGTTTTTCATCTTTCGGTAATGGCAGAGAGTGGTCGATTTGTGATAACGACTTCCGTGCGGTTGCGGAAGTACCTCAGCAGATAAGCATCGGAAAAGTGCGATGGCGAGGTGGCCGTTGGCGATGAACAACTCATCGCCGGCAACCTTATCACGATCAACCTTATTACCAGTTAGCTCAACCGCAGGCAGTGAGGAACCCTGCACCGCCGCCAACCCCAGTCGTGTCCCGGCAGCCTAAAGAACTAACGATTTTGACGTCAAGCCACGCTTTCCTAAGTGCAAGCATGACCAGCTCAAAGACCTGCTCTTGCGATTCCATGATTACTCCTCGTCATTTTCAAAGGTCCGACAGACCGCGCTCACAAAACGTCCCATCATAACAGAAGTATCCACATAATCTGTCAGAGCCCGTACCGAGTTTCAATGTGTGAACGCGAGGTCGCGAAGAAGCAAGTCGACGAAATGCTACGTGACATCATTCAGCCATTTAGGAGTTCGTGGGCAGACGACGTCCCCGATTGACTCCACAACACAAAGTATTCTTTATTGATGGGCCACAAGACCGGCTACTAGCAAACTGAAGCCAACAGAAGTGACTGAGAAAAGACTGCCTTTATAACACTAAACGGCCTGTGTGAGTTCAAGGTCATGCCCCTTGTTGCTCAGCTCCTGCTTATTTCCAAAGTGTTATAGACACTGTGGTGTTTGTTCTATTAGTTCCGGTTTTGATTATTATGTGCCGCCTCGCGTTGCGCCGATGTGTATATATGTGTGAATAAAGAGTTGGTGACGAGCGCCCAGACGAGGCAGACGTCCTTTCGGCACTCTGCGCCCCGTTGTAAGTTGGCCTTCTGGAGTGCCCGCCAGTACCGTTGGCCGTCTTTGGTTCTACGGTTCTTCTTTTCTTTGTCAGTGCCGGGGCTGCCAAGACACAACAGAAAAGATATTGTGTTTGCCAACACTGTATCCACATTTTCAAGCCAGGCTAGAAGTAACAGGCGTACCTTGTGTATTTGCATGACGTCATTGCAGTTGCACAGCCAGGGGGTGCCCCCACCCCTGTAATTGTTTTCACCTTGGCATACAGCGTGAAAAATTACCGTTTTTAAGTGGTGTACTCCCTCTTAAAAAGCTTGTGTCTATGCTCCTGCATCATCGTGTTCGCTTCGAACTTTTACGAACACCTTAGTACATTGAAGGGCGGAGTTGCATGAATTTGACAAAGCGGGGGCTGCACAGCTACTCAGAAGTGAGGGGGGGAGGCATTTCGCAGTTAGACAGTATTCAGAGTATTGACGAAGATTTGAAAAATGAGCATTACAGTCTTCAGTGCGAAATCTGCTTCAGTAAGAATAGGAATGGTTCATAATCACAGTGCTAGTAAAATGATTACTGTAGCTGTTATGCTTATGAGGAAAAGGTACATAAACTTGGCCTAAAATACACAGTGGGTATAGGGCTTACTCTGTTCCCACAAGGAAATAAACGAAGTAACGTGTGTGCCTTTTGTAGTGGGTGACTGCTTTTAAGCTATGCAGTCATTATGATAATCGCACGTTTTGGCAGCCAATAACAGTGTACTCTTGTATTACGCATCATTACTGCAATAATTCATGTTGACTTGTGAAGCATGTATACAGGACGTGTGTGTTTGTCATAACTTCCACTGCATTCAAAAGCAGAGGAAGTTATTTTCACTGTATTCACAAGGAGACGCGAGGCTGTGTGGCAGAATGCCCACTCGCAATGCAAACGACCCGGATTCAATCCCCACTTGAGCCCAAAATGTTTTATTGTTTATTTCGATTCGCATCTTTCTCAATTTTTCACTCACGCACAGGATCATGATTTTTCGCTCAGAACTGACGCAGATGCCAGAATTTCTGCAAAACGAGCTCTTCGACGCTATCGCTTTAAAAATGGGTCATGTCAGTACTAAAATTTT